TATTCTACAAAGAACAGCACTGGTAGTGTAGGGGCCACATGTTGGGAGGCTAGCCACAGGTCAGTAGTTGGAACCAACCAACAACTTCTCAGGAGAAAGATGAGGCATTCACAGCCTTAGAAACAAAAGGGGCAGTTATACCTTGCCCCATGGGGTCCCTAGGACTCAGAATTGACTTTGAAGCATTAGTTTTTCTTCCCTTTCTTTTTAAAAATTTACCCTACACAAATAGTAAGTTTCATATCACTAAATCAGAGGATGTTTTTCAGTGTGCACCTCCTTTTAGGTGTCACCAAGCACCAGCTTTCCACCGTCAAGAAGTGCTCTTTCTGGTATTCTGTTGTTATATGCTGGGCGAGTCAGTTCCGACTGATTGCAACCACGCGTACAATAGAATGAAACACTCCCTGGTCCCGCGCCATTCTTACAATTATTCTTTAAGTTTGAGTTCATTGTTGCTGCTACTGGGTCAATTCATCTTGTCCAGAGCCTTCTTTTTCTCAGCCCCTCTACTGTATCAAGCATGATGTCTTTCTCCAGGGATTGGTCTCTTCGGACAACATGTCCAAAGTATGTGAGATGAAGTCTTGCCATCCTTGCCTCTAAGGATGTCCTTCTTCAGAGACAAATATGTTAGTCCTTTTGGCAGTCCACGGTACTTTCAGTGTTTTCACTAGCACCATCATTCAAATGCAACAGTTCTTCTCTGGTCTTCTTCTTCTTCTTTTTTTTAAAACAATTTTATTGGCATATAATTCACAAATCATACAATTCAATAGTTCAATCATATGAAGAAGAGTTGTACAATCACAACCACAATCAACTCTAGTACATTTTCTTCATTCTTACACTCACCATTCTTAGCTCTGTTGTCCCCCAGGGGCTTCCTTCTCCATGTCCAACTTCACATGCATATGAGGCCATGGAAAACACCATGGCTTGGGCCAGGTGCACCTTCGTTCTCAAAGTAACAGCCTTGCTTTTCAGTACTATAAGAAGTCTGGTGCAGCAGATTTGCCCAATGCCAGACTTTTATTGCTTGATGCTGCTTCCAGGAGCTTTGGTTGTGGATACAAGCAAGGAGAACTTCAATCTTGTTCTGTTTACCATGATGTGACATACGGGTCCAGTTGTAAGAATTGTTGTTTTCTTTACGTTGATGGTAATCTGTATTCTACTCCCTCGCATTGTGTTGGTTTCTCTCCTTTCTCTGATCTATTTGTCTGACTTCTTATAGAATCATCTTCCTTAACCCAGAAACCTTAATAGTTCAGTTCTCTTATAATTCTATGCACGGTAAAATCCTTCTCTAATCAATTTATCTAAGAAATAGCTTCACAATTTAAAAAAACATATTATGTTTAGTTTAGACTTCTCTATATGCAAAGCTCATAAACTGTCTACTGACAACTCTACCCGACTATGGCAAAATATCTGAAAATGAGCTCATCATATATACATATTTAGATGATTAGTGTTCCATACGTAAGGACTGCTAACTGATGTGGAGAAAGACTTCACATTAAACTTCAGTAGAATGTGTTAAAGTAGGCAACAATGGGCTCAAATGTAACAACTGTGAGGATGGCAGAGGACTAAGGGCAGTGTTTCACTCTGTTGTACACAGGGTCACTATGAGTCAGAACTGACTTAAAAGCACCACCACCATGCACTGTATCATTAATTATCATCATTTTTACATCAGAAATCTCTATTGACTTTACTCTTTATGATTCATTCTGTAGTTCAGGCACTTTTTAGTTGAG